CTTGATATTATTTTCTTCATTTCAGGTTTTAAGGATGTGAGTAAGCAAATGAGCTAGCTGTTCAGAGATAGTGTAAATTCCAATGCAAAGAACTTGATCTTTTAAAAATTTGCCATTCATTGTAGAGTTTAGGAAATAAAACACTTTGTTTTTCTCATTCTTTTTTTTTTTAACACATTGTTCCACTGATTGATCTATGACTCACAGCTCAGATTCTATATATTGCCTTCCACTACAATAGTTCAATGTCAATTTTATTTAATTAGTAAAGATTTTCCATAGAATGATAGAATTATCCCCAGTTGAAAGCCAGGACTTAGATAAACTATTAGTGTACCTGATGGGATTATGAGTTAAATTATACTATCGATCCTGTGGAAAAAGCTAAAGTTTGATCACTATATTGTTCCATAAGGTTTTCTTGAGGCATTTACAAAGAGAGAGTTTTTTCAGGTTTCTGTCACATGGTTGCTATCACAGTAATCAAGTCTTGTTTCTATCTTGAGTTGTAAAAGGTTGTGATTTAGATATAGCTCTAGTCGGTGTTAGTCACTTGTTTGGACTTTATGATGCTAGTAGTTTTAGATGGTTTGGAGGGGTTGGAGGATGGGGGGCTGCTCAGCAGAACAACACTTCTGTAAAACTGGTCCTGGCCTAGGAGTTCAGCTTTGGGGAGAGTGTATCTGTGTTGCCTCCAGGGTTGGGGCAGGGGTGGAGGGAATAAAACATGATTGCAACCTTAAAGTTGAGTCCCTGTGACTGGTCACCAAGACACCTTAATGAATAGACTATCCAGCAAATTGTTATGAAAGCAGACCAGTATGTATTAAAAATTCTGCATTAACACAAGAAGTATAATGTTAATTTAATAGTTGATGTGGTGAAGGCTCCAATGGCTTGGCTAAGATGTATCAAAAAATTATCTTAAAGCTGTGTGGGAGGGTTTATATCATATTCATAGCTTTGGATGCATGCTTTGTCCAGAAGGTCTTGGAAATGCCTCCCAGCCTATGGGGTGATAACACGTAAGAGAGGGTATTTCCTCCCCTTATAAAGCTCTCATTGACTCTTTTCCGATTGTGGTTCTTAATTGGAAGAATGATAAGACTGGTAATAGGAAATACATATAGAATACACCAATACAAAAATATGTGGGAATTCTCTACATTGTATTTCCTTCCTAGTTGTTCATTTTTAATGTCATAAATTTTCAATAGAGGTAATTCTGGCACAAAATACTATTCCCGAATATGTCTCTTGGGAAGCAGTTTAATGATATGCATGTTGATGTTCCAAAATGCAAAAGTAGGAGGGAAAAAGACTATATGAAAAAAATGGTTATTATTTGTCTTTCATTTAAAAAATGTAAAGATAATGAATACACCAATATGTATAGTCCACCATATTATAGTGTGTTTTGTATTTGATCCTGTTATTTAAAAAAAGTATTTGATTTTGGAATGGAGTTATTTCAGAAACAAAAAAGACATGAGACATTTACATAAATGAACAAACACCTAATACTTTGAAGTTATTTTTCTGCTGAAACATATGACTTTATCTATTAAAAAAAAATGGAAAAAGGAATACTGACCGAAAGACTTAATGCTAGAGACTGATTTTTTTTCACCAGAAACACACAAGGTACTCAGGTTCCTAACAGCTTTAGTTTTACAGTCCAATTAGTGTTTTGTCTGAACTAAAGCAGAGTATTTACATCGGCATGATGAACTGCTGTGCCTACGTGTCTGGATTCTGGAGTGCCTGGGTTTGAATCCTGGCTCCCCATTTACTATCAGTGGAACTGTGGACAAGTTACCTAGATCTCCGTTTTCTCATTAAAAATGTGAATAGAAATAACACCTACCCCATAACGTTTTTGTGACGATAAAATGAGTTCATACTTGTAAAATACCTAGGACAGTGGCATCACCACCTTAGGAAAGTCAGATTGCTGACCAAATGTAAATCAAAAGGTAAGCTGTGGTAAGTTGCTTTATATGTACTGACTGTGAAACCCTTATCTGGACTCTGACTTCTGCATACATGACTTCTCTAACTAAATGAAGCAGGGCAGCTTTTGCCTTATCTCAGCCATCAACCTGCTTTTTCAGGATGCCCTGTTTTAGTGCAAGATGAAGGATCAATGGTCTGTTATATTAAGTTCTTTTCAGTATATTATTATCTTATATTTTTGCCTATTACTTTTTGGCTTGTAAATTCTGACTTAAATTCCTGACATAGGAAGAAAATGTGTCCATTGGCAATTTATTTAGATTATAGGATATAAAATTTTAGATGTTATGAGACTTTCAAACATGTAACAGGCTAATGTGAGGGTACTTTATGGTCCTGTTTTATACCCTTTTCCCCCAAAAGCACATATTTTAGAGACAATAATGATAGGAGTCTTTTCAGTTGTATTTTTAGTTAATTGGAAGGTGATTTTTACAAGATGTTTTAATTCCATCATTAAATTATAAAAGTTTCAGAATCCTTTGGTTTAGTTTACTCTAGTTTGTTTGTTAGGGCTGCTAAAAAAAAGTCAAGAGGAATTATGGAATGTTTACCCCAAGAGGTATACTGAAATAGGTACATTTACAGAAGTCTTTCATTAAGCTTTCTAGCCTTAAATTATAAATTTAGATGCCCTTATATAAGACAGGAATAATACTTAATTGGAAAAAGATGCCTTAAGTTGTTTACTAACACTGCTGTCATTGTCAGTACCTACCAGTGCTATCCACAGCTCAGTCTGTACTTTTGGAAAACAGAGCTGTTAGAACTTTAAGCCAGAGAGACTTAAACATCATGCTACCAACACAGGGTTTTAAAAAGGTATTCTTTTATTTATTCCTGGCATCTTAGTGTAGCCAATATGATTTTTTTCTGTCCATTTTACTTTGCCTTCTGAGTTAATGTTTCATGTGGTTTTACAATATTAATTTATTCAATGGATATTTGTTAAGTGCTTACTATTATTTGCCAGTAACTATACCAGGAGCTAGACATACATCCATGAATACTGCGCATTTAGCAACTAACTGTTGGTAAGATAGTGTTACAAAAATGAAGATACAGAGTACTTCAAGAGTGTTTATCGGGATATGACTATTATTTACAGAACGTTTGAATCACAGTTTCCAAAAGGGAAATACTTGAGTTAATTCTTTCCAAAGAGAAAGTAAAGATGAATGAATCTATTCAGTATTATAGGGAGTTTTGAAGCATGGACACATATTGGGGCTATAATTTTATCTAGGATACATAACAAAGGGATTTGACTTTATTGAGATGTATTTATCAGCTACTTTCTGAAGTATCATATTATGACACTTGCTAACTGTACAGCAGCTTTAAAAAAAAGATTTTATTTATTTATTCATGAGAGACAGAGAGAGACAGAGACACAGGCAGAAGGAGAAGTAGGCTCCCTGCGGGGAGCCTGATGCAGTACTCCATCCCAGGACCCTGGGATCATGACCTGAGCTGAAGGCAGATGCTTAACCACTGAGCCACCCGGGCATCCCTGTGCAGCAGCTTCTTAACCTTAGTTTAGGTGATCCAGAAGCAATGCTTCCAGGAAGATCAGGATTAGAGATAACTGGACTACCTGATGTCTATGAGTATGTAAAATGAATAAAACCATGACAGGCAGGTGCTGCATTCCTCTCCTGACTTAAGTACTGACTCTTCTTAACTCCATCAAAAGTCCTGTATTTTTACCTGGTGGTATCACCACCTGTAAATATTGTTATCTTTATCATTTTCTCAGGAAAGCTCAGAGGCTTTGAAACTTAATATTACCACTACTAGCAGTCACAATTATTGCATGGAGTTCCAGCTGTTAGCATAATTGGTGTCAGAAGTAAGTTTGAGGCATAATGACCTTTTACTACAGAAAGGTGTAGCATAACTTAGAATGTTCTTTCCTAGGAAATGAAATTTTTATTTTTATTTCTATTTCTATTCATTCATTCATTCATTCATTCATTCATTCATGAGAGACACACACACACAGAGAGAGAGAGAGAGAGAGAGAGAGAGAGAGAGAGAGGGAGGGAGGCAGAGGTAGAGGGAGAAGCAGGCTCCATGCAGGGAGCCCTATGTGGAACTCAATCCCAAGACTCCAGGATCACACCCTGGGCTGAAGGCGGCACTAAACCACTGAGCCACCCAGGCTTCCCGGAAATGAAATTTTTAAAACAGACCAGCATTTCCAACATGTTTGTTTCATAAAGCAGTAATGTAGAAAGATGTTACACCTGAAACTCCCCCCAAATTATGGGGTCAAATGATTTAAATAAGTTCACTTATTTAAATTTTTGAAATTCACTTCATTCTTTGAGAGTCATAATACATACCAGCATAATACTGTCTCTATGAAGTCCTGCTGTAAAGAAATGTTGCATACTTTTTATCTGAACCTAGCCAATCTTACTGACCACAGTTTTTTTCCTTAATATATCACCTGATCATAATCCCAAGGATTTTCAGGTTACTTTCTGCCATGATCCAGATATTGGTGGCTAACAATTTGTGGACAGATCTTAACAGCCACAGGCAGTGAGAAGCTATCTTTCTCAGCTTATTCTGTAACAGTATAAGGAAAGCTCTTTATGAGCCATCTATGGCTAAATATTTACATGTTTAGAATATACTTTTAAATTTTTTAGCAAAGCATGAGTTAATTACTTAAGCAACCTTTGCTCCTCTGTATTTATCCTTCAGTTCCTCAGGTTAGGACTTGAAATGGTTGGCTTCTATGGAATGAGTAGAAACAGGTGAGCTGTTCATGATGAGCTGTAGCTTGGATTGCATTTTTCCCTAGGATATGGTGGCCTGGGCGACTAGTGTGGCTAGGGACCCATTACGCCATGTTGCCTGAGGCTTGTGCTTGCCAATGGCAGAACTTGTGAATGGCTTGTGCACCATGTCATTGTGAAGAACCATGTCATGTAGTTCTCCTTACAAGTTACGTATTTTTTTGCTTTCCACAGTGATGGAGAGGGGAGAAAAAGGACCTCATCTACTTGCAGCAATGAGTCCCTAAACGCTGGAGGAACCCCTGTCACCCCTCGTCGAATCTCCTGGCGACAGCGTATTTTCCTCAGGGTTGCTTCTCCCATGAACAAATCTCCCTCAGCAATGCAGCAGGGTCTGTATGGTACATGCTAAAGAATTACTCCTTCCCAGGATCATAAACTAAAGAAAGGAATGCAATGCTTTGGGTACAAAGAGATTTAAGTGATTAGAGTAGAGAAATAACTTCTGTTTCCATATCTGATACAGTGGTTAACTTCTCAGTTATCATGAGAACATAATTAGACATTCAGTAAATGCTTGTTGCATGAGCGAGTGAATGAGTGAGTTTCCCAAACTGAGCACTATGATAGTGCTAGAAAAGCATAGATCTTTTTATTAGAAAAGTAACCTATACTTTTACAAGAGTCACATATAAAAGTGACATAGAAATGTTCAATGATAGAGAAATGGATACAGATACACTAGGCAAATGTCAATCAAAAGATATTAGACCTTTTAGAAATTAAAACAAAGGCAACCAAAAGGGCAAAGTAAATATAACAATAAACAAAGATACAACAATGATGAGAGCATGCATAATTAGATAGCCTTGAAAGCTAGAAAGTAGATTTCATAGAATGTTAGGGAGAAATGAATCAGTAGCTCTCGTGGAATATTTTTAACATACTCATCTCTGAAAATTAAATACAGAGAAGGTAAATATAGATAACATTTGAGAAATACAATTCAACAAGCTTGATCTGATATTTATATAGAACCTTGCCCCCCCCATAGGATTAAGTTCATTCATTCTTAGCACACATGGAACATTCCTTAAAGTTAATTAGGTATTTGGCTACAAAGGCAATTTAATTTAGTATAAAACAATCATAAAGATTCGTACTATATTCTCTGATAACAGTGAAAAAAGAAAGGAATCAAGAATGAGAAGACAACTAAAATATTTCACATATTTGGAAACAAAACTACTAGAAACTAGAAGGAAGTAAATATGATGTTCAGTGCCTTACACATCAACATTGAGCGATATTTAGAGGGCATTTCTAAAATCAGGAAAGACAAGACTCAAATATACTAAGTATTCAAGAAGCTAGAAAAGGAACTACGGAGTACAATTTTTAAAAAATTATTTATTAAGGAGATAAATAATAAGAGTAAGGGCAGAAGTCCGTAAGGAAAAAAAACAAAAAAACAATAAAACAACTGACATTCCTGGAGAAAAAATTAACTCTGCCTAGGGTGGCCAGACAAAGCTTCACAGAAATGTTGGATATATTATATTTACACTCATTGCCGGGCGAAGCATGTTTCAGAAAGAGGAACTAGCAAAGGCCTGACATCATTGGAGAGAACTTTGAAGTTCAGAGAATTATGAGAAATTAGGCATGATGGGAGCAGAGAGTGGGAGATAGAACCAGAGGCCAGAAAGGTTCCTGGAGGCCAGAGTCTAAATCCATCTGTATGCTATTTGTAGTAGTTTAGACTTTGTGCTTTTAGATATAAGCAACCATAGAAATGTTTTAAGAGACACAATCATGTTTGTTAATAGGAAAATAATTGGCAGGAGTGCAAAAGATGTCCTGGAACAGAGGGAGAGCGTGGGGTCCAGGAATTGGGTAAGAGAACATTGCAGGAGCAAGCAGAGGTGCCGAGCCAAGACATGCCCAGTGTTGTTCAGCTGCTCTTCTCTTGCCGGTTTCTGTTGGTAGATGGAGACCTTTAGGACATCACTCTTACCTGCTCATGTAATCTTTTTGCTTTGCACAATCGGTGAATGTACAAAGATAAATTGCAGAAGTGTTGGGCTCTGGGGAATGCCATTTCACTTGAGAGCACCTATCTTATAGGTCACTTTGTGCAGAAAGAAGAAGTGGCGAAATTACATGTGCTTTCATTTCACTGAGAGAGGGAAATCTGGCAGGGGAATTTAGCTTAGTGAATTTACTTAAATCGTTAGTTCCAGAAATGCAGTTACTGGGAAAGTGGCTTTGTGAAAAGCTTTAAAGGTGGAAGATGGGATGAGAGAACACCAATTCTAGACAAAGCTTCCCGTAGTCGGGGTTACTACTCAGGAATGCCTCTCACTGTTTTCTTCTCTGCAGATGGACTGGACAGGAGCGAGCTGTTGCCATTGTCCCCTCTTGCTCCAACCATGGAGGAGGAACCGCTGGTTATATTCATGTCTGGGGAAGATGACCCAGAGAAGTCCGAGGAAAGAAAGAAAGCAGAAGAACTGAGGAGTTTGTGGAGAAAAGCCATACACCAACAAATCTTGTTGCTTCGAATGGAGAAAGAAAACCAGAAACTTGAAGGTTAGCCATTCAAACAGGGCTAAATGATAAGATCCTAGAATTGAAGGGCTTAGGCTAAAACCACCCCCAGCCTCCTCCACACTCATTCTCAGAATGTAAATACACTTCTCCTAGGATTTTACTGGTTATAATTGCTTAGTTTTATTTTGTGAGGTTGCTATGACATGGGAATTTTCAGCTTAAAATATTTGCCTTTTTGTTTAATAGATAAAACTTCAGATACCTTTAGAGTATAGTTGGGTAATACAGGATGTGTAGGTAGTGTGGAGTCAATGTATTTGGTATGGCTGAAAGTTTAATATTATTGTGCATTACTTAGGAGAAAAACCCTTAAACATGAAAAAACACATTCTCTTCTTTTTAAATTGATTTTCAACTTTTAGGCTAATTGTATTCATAATAGGAGAAATGTGCCTATTTCAAATAAATTCTGTTTTGTACCCAGTTCAACTATCTAATTACCTGTTACCAAATCAAAGTTCCTATTTTTTTCCATTGTTGCTTTATACATTTTCTATTTTAAAAATCATATTCAAATCATTAAATTTGTAATTGGATAATTTACTCTATGTACTGTGCCATTTCTGTGCTTTATTGCTTAGTTTATAAATACCAAATCCTTTAGAATGTGTTCTCCAACTTTGAAAGAATGATATTTATCCCACTATGAACCATGCAGAAGGAGATGTGCAGATGATACCAAAACTCAAAAAGTGTATTAATGTTATTATATTTAGCAATTCACTTTACCTAAAGGGGCTTGTTTTTCACATTTGTAAAATGAAAGATTGGGCTTAAGTAGGTCCTTTGACTTACAAGATTATTGGAAAATGTACAATCTAGGTATTTCTCTGGCTTGCTTTTATTGTGTTGTCTACAAAAAGCTTTTTCAGTACAGGCATTCACATTTCTGTGTTCATCACCTATCTTAGGATTCCTCTTACTACACCTAATATTCAGTTTGGTTTTTAAATTGAACAATATTTAGTTTGCAGGGGGAACAGTGTATTTTCTTTATTATTGTTTTATTGGCAGAATGGAAAGTATATGAGGTTTTAAATAGCCCTAGGAAATTAATCTTCTTTTCTTTCAAATTAAAAACCCAATGAATTGCTATTGATATAGATTTTAAAAGTTAGACGTGATAAATGGTATGCCCACTCGAGCATACATAGATTTTGAGAGGAACTACATTCATATTCAAGATAAGACAAGAGGTGACGTTTAGCAGATATGATTACAAACCTTTATTAGTCTATATTTCATTACTTAACTAACAAAGACAAAAAATAGTTGAACTTATTAAAATGCTAGTCAATGGATAATCACTTATTGATGGTTTCTAATTTTTTGCCTAGTTAACCAGGTGAGGACAGATGTTGACTGCTCTTACTCAGCATTTTGTTCTCAGGGCTTGTGGCTGGTACATAGGTCTTGAATATTATTTTAAATGAATAATGATCTAGAGAAGGTTGCAGAGGGGAGAAAAGGAAATGTGCTTTGTTCATTGTAAACAAAAATCATTAGTAAAGTTAGATATAGGGTTATATTAATCATTAGCTTTAATGAACCCACTTCTTTAAAAAATATGATTATCATAGAGAAATATAAAGCAAATATTGAGAAGCAAAGCTAAACTCTGCTAGAAAGCCATCTAGTGGTATCCAGGAGGAGTATTTCTGTAGTGAAACTTGGTTTTGATTATGTCTGGACTTTTAAGTAGAAACTTTTGGTGCCTTACTTCAATAGCTGTATTATAAGATATTTAAATTCTTTGAAATGGTTTCAGACACACTAAGTAAAGGGTAATACTCCTTCTGCTGTTGTTTTTGTGCTGTCGAGGACTTTGGATGCATGACAGATTTGTGTTGCAGAAGGTAAGGGGTTGAATACTGTGAGCTTGAATGAATACACATTGATCTGAGAAAGTCCTGTTCAATGTGATCCTAATAAAAGAGAGGAAAAATAGCTAAATGTTTTTTCTTTGTTTTCCCTTTTGTAATAAATTACTGAAGATAAAGAACACATTAAGATAGTAGTTGGCTTTTATAGGCCTTTTTAAAAATGAGCTCTAGGCTTATATTTTAGACCATCAAATGAGAGAGAATTCTGTACTATTTTTTAAAATGGTGGTAGTGTTAATTTCAGCAAAATGAATTTTCCTCTTTAAGATTATTAAAAATGAACACAGGGACACATGGCTTAGCATTTTTAAAGGCAGTATCAGTAACTCTGACAATAGTTATAAAAATTGATCAGGTCATCATGGTCAAATATTTCTCTAATTAAGGTTAGCACGAGGTATTGTTTTCTTCTATATGTCATATATAAAATACTAATGGTGTTGAAAATGATGCAAGTTTTTGCTTCTGAGGCTATTACATTTGTCAAAAAAAAAATTAGTGTATAGCCTATCAAACATGGTTTGTAAAATGCCTAGCAGAGTTCCCATCTGTAAGATACAGAGTAAACCCTCCTCGGGAAGTCATTCATAATATTTTTTTTTACATGAAATGACTCAAAGTTTGGAAACCTTTCATGTATCTTCAATTTTTTTAAGTTTACTTTTTGAATAGATGTTATTGGTGGATTCCTAAAATTCATTCAGTATGATTTATTTTTACAAATACAGCAAAATGTTAAAAATGGAGTGTTTTAAGAACTCACTGGTTTTACATAAATTATTTTGTTTTTCTTAGCAAGCAGAGATGAACTCCAGTCCAGAAAAGTTAAACTGGACTATGAAGAAGTTGGTGTATGTCAGAAGGAAGTCTTAATAACCTGGGATAAGAAGTTGTTGAACTGCAGAGCCAAAATCAGATGTGACATGGAAGATATTCATATTTCTCTTAAAGAAGGTATTCTGGATATTTTTTTTTATTTGAGTATAATTGATCCACAGTGTTATATTAGTTTCAGGTGGATCATCGTAATCATCTTTTTTTTTTTTTTTTTTAAGATTTTTTATTCATTTAAGAGAGTGTGTGTGCACAAGCAAGAGCACGAGCAGGGCAGAGGGGCAGAGGGAGAAGGAAAAGCAGGCTCCCTGCTCAGCCCCACTGTGGGGCTTGATCCCTGGACCCTGGGATCATGACCTGATGTGAAGGCAGATGCTTAACCAACTGAGCCACTCAGGTGCCCATGTAATAATCTTTTCTAAAAAAAAAAAAAAGTTTAGAGATTTTTTGATTGTGTAGCTCAGGCTTATGTGCTTTGTGTATAAAAATGGAAGTAATTTGCTTTCACTACAGTCAGTGACTCAATTGGGAAAAAAGTGCTAATGGAGAGACTGTCCCTGAGGAGTTAGCAGACACTTTTTCTATAGATTTTCCTGTCTTTTTCAACCTGCTGTTCTTAGCTCTACGTTGATTACCAAGGAACGAGAGAATGCATTGGTACAGGTCTTGGATCATATCCATAAAAATAATTTAGACTTACAGACTTGACATATTTCCATCATTTGGTCAGAAATGTTTATATAAATATGTGTATATTTATATGTATATATATGTTTACCTACATGAACGTATACATAAACAGATTAATATTTTTATTAATCAGGGTTTTCCTTCTATCTGTGCGTTCCTTTATTTTGGAAAAAAATGCTTTCATTTAGCTATTAAAACTACATTGTTGCTCTGCCATGTAAAATGACTGATATTTAAACATCTTAAATTTAACATTAAAACTAGCATGTATTTGAGGTGCATTTCTGTGATCCAGATATTACAATGTGAATCTCCGTGGCCTGCTTAAACTGAGTATAAAATAAAAATCCTAAAATAGCCAAAGAAATCTGATAATGGATTTTGTTTTAAAAGCTTATGATTAATGTATGAAACTATTACACAGTTTAAATGAAGTTGAGATTAATTTTGTAAGATGCTACATTTACAAGCCTAATATATTGGGTTTTTTTTTCCTTGAAGATATGGAAGTCCTAAAGATTCTTATTGACTACATTATTTGGGACACAGTAGTGGTTAATAGAATGTGTGTGAATGGTTGATCACACTATTTGTTGGTATGACTTTTAAAGATTTTTTAGAGGTGCTCATCTTTCCACTTTCTATAGAATACATTTTAAACTTTTTTAAAAAAAATTTATTTATTTGAGAGAGAGCACATGCATGAGCGGTAGGAGGGTCAGAGGGGAAGAATCTCCGGCAGGCTCAGCTTGTTGTATCATGTGCTCCAGAGTGGCTGAACTACTCTGAGGTCCAGTGTATGTCCCAGATTGTTTCCTGCATGGAATGCTCCAGTTCTCCTTGCATTCCTTCTTCCCTACCTCTCTACTTGCTCCCCATTTCCCACCATCCCTTTATTTCCACCCCCACCCCCCACTCTTTCTTTCTCTCCCCATTCCTTGCCTACAGGGGCACTCAAACATTCTTCTTCCTGAGGGATTGCTGCCCACATTCCCAGCCTGGAGAATTCTGTTATCTTTTCACTCTCAATTCAAATACCGTTTCTTCAGTAATAGCATGCCCTTTCCTTTCTTCCACTAAAACAAATTCATTTCCCGCTATTATTTTTCTCACAATTCTTTCCCTTTAACTGTGCTTATCATAATTTGTAATTTTGTATTTATGTATATATTTGTTTAATGTTTTTCTCACCCCACCCCACATACCTAGCACCTAAGAAGCATTTTGTGCAAATTATTTACTAAATGGCTACATGGGGCAGCCTGGGTGGCTCAGTGGTTTAGCGCCACCTTCAGCCCAGGGCCTGATCCTGGAGACCTGGGATCGAGTCCCACGTCAGGCTCCCTGCATGGAGCCTGCTTCTCCCTCTGCCTGTGTCTCTGCTTCTTTCCCTCTCTCTCCTCTCTCTGTGTCTCTCATGAATAAATAAATAAATAAAAATTAAAAAAAGAACAAACGGGTACATGGATGGATGAACAAATGAATGAGACTAATTCCTGAGAATGGATTTATTCATCTACCAGGAATGAAGTATCCTCAGTACTATTCTCCATACTTTGCTACATGTTAGATGTTCAACAATACTTGTTTAGCTGAAGTGAGTTGCCTTCTTGCATGTTATTAGAGATACATTTAATGGGCTAATGAATGTTACCCCCAAAATTGACCTTTTAAATGTGACCATTCATTCATTTGTCCAATGAATATTTAAGAAACAAGGTATATTAGGATTTTCATCACATACAGATGACCATTTGCTCACTATTCTCAAGGAGCTATCAGAGTGGGGAAGATAGGCCAAACGTGAAATGTAGAGTTAGCTCATCCAAATATGGTGATGTTAGAGTATGTGTCAGATAGTATGTGAAAAGGGAGTGATTATTACTCCTAAAGATGTGAGGAAGAATTTCAGCAAGAGGATTTTATTCAGGCTCAGCTATTAAAGATGGATAGAAATACACTATGCAGTCAAGTGGGGGAACTTGGAAGTCCATAGGCAACAGTAGGAACAAGAAACTGGAAGTGTGAAAATAACTGTAGGCTTCTTTTACTTAGCGTATGGTGTAGGATGGGAGGTAATGTCCTGAAGAAGGTAGTTTGGTGGTATATTGTGGAGGACCTTATATATTATGTCAGTGAGCCTGAGTTGTACCTTTTGGACAATAATACTTTTGGTTTATGCAAATAATGGTGCTGAAGTTCAAAAAGATTAGTGCCATGAAACCTTCCTTAATCAGCTGGGAACTCAGAAACCTATTCCCTCCCTATGCAGTTTATATGAATTGAAAATACTTTGTGAGGTAGGACACTTGTACTGTACAGAATTGTGTTCTGTCCCTCCCAGTGCTTCATATTCTTTGACTTAAAAAACAAAGTTTTGGGCAGGTGCCTGGGTGACTCAGTGAGTTGAGCGTTCACCTCTTGGGTTCAGCTCAGTTCATGATCTTGGGGTCATGAGATTGAGTCCTACATTGGACTCTCGGCTCAGCATGGAGTCTGCTTGAGATTCTCTCTCTCCCTCTGCCTCTGCCCCTCCCGCTCCTGTGTGCTCTTTCTCTCTCTAATAAATAAAAGAAAAAACAAAATCAAAACATGGTTTTGGCATACTTTGAAATGCTGATGATACCCTTTGGTTCTCAAGTTCTCAAGCGTAATGGGAGTTAACATTTCATTATACATGCTGGATATTGTCTTCCCAGAGGATGTTCTAGAGCACTCCAGTTATGCTTTCATGTTGTACTGACCATTCTTATTATTTCATTCTTTTTTGACCCTATAAAATGCTATTTTATTCTCTTTTACAAAGTTACCTATTGATGTCAGGTATTTAGAAATTACAAGTATTGGCATTTGTTATTAGCTTCAAACCAAAGAAAAGGTAGGAATAAGCTGTGATACATTTAATGATTTTAGAATTTAGCCTCTGAAGCCAGACTCGGGGAGTTCTAATTCTGAACTTCTACTCCTAAACTTGGGCAAGTTGCTCACTTCTTTCTGCCTCAGCTTGGCCATCTGCAAAGTGGGGATAATACTAATTGCCTATCTCACTGTGTGGTTTTCTGAGCACCGGTACAATGCTGAGTAGTAAGATACCCTCAATGAATGTTGTATTGGGTGCCCATCATATCAGTGTTGCCTGATGCTGTTAACACTGCCTTTATTATAGGAGTGTTTTCTTTTGCAAGACATCAGCAGATACAGGATTAAACTTGTCAAAATATACTTCTGTCAGTACATCATACTGTGTAATCAGAGTGTGGCAACGCAGGACAGTATAGCTGCCTGTTTTCAAGCATTACATAGTTCCTCAGCTACAATTTAGCAGCTTCATTCCAGAGTTCGAGACTTTGCTTTTTTTATCTTTGCAGGTGTTCCCAAAAGTCGGCGAGGAGAAATTTGGCAGTTCCTAGCCTTACAGTATCGTTTAAGGCACAGATTGCCCAATAAACAACAACCTCCTGACATATCGTATAAAGAACTTTTAAAGCAGCTCACTGCTCAGCAGCATGCAATTCTTGTGGATTTGGGTATGTTTGTTATATTTATTATTGTACAAAAGTAGACAGTAGGTTGCTTTGTTGAGTTTTTTGGGGGGAATTTTGCAATTTTTGTTTCTTAGTTTTCCTTGTTTTTTTTTGTTTTGGTGTTGTTTATTGAATTATGCAGAGCTGCTGACTTTGCCCTTTCTTGAGGGCAAGTTGGCCTTATATTTGGTTAAAGATACCATAAGTGCCTGAATTCAGAATGAAGTGTTCATCCCTAAACTTGTCCCCCCAAAGGGGTATTATATTTGAATCATTATAAAGGTCATATTATCAGGTACTCTCAATTCCTGTATTTTGAACAACTGACTTTCATTTGAGATAGACATTTATTTTCTCAGTCAACATTGGTTTTAAAATATGTTAGAATATAGGTTGAAAGGGGCATCAAAAATTTAAACAAGCCTTTGACTATCACTTTAAAAGGAAAATAAGTGGTTATGCTGTGGAATCATGAATATATCCCTATAGGGTGAAAGAAAAATGAGCTGTCCTAATATTATATGAATGGGTACTTGTTTCCAGTGACATCATCATAAAGCTATCTTTTTAAATGCTGAATTTCAAATAATTAATGGAAAGGAAACATGGTATAGTTTTTAAATTACATTGTCTCTAATTTTTCTCTAATTTAACATATTTTAATATATCTTATTATTTAAAAATACGTAACAGATGGATTAAATATTGTATGTTGGCATTTGACTATTTCATCTGTATTCCTAGAGGGTGATATATTTAAAGTGGCCAGATATGTTATGTGAGCCATTTGGGAAAATAAGGGATTACCTTATACTTGGGGTCACCTTTTACTAGGGCATATAAAAATCACTGGTGAAAACCTAGTTTTGATCTCTGTTCCCTTTGGATGATAAACAGGTTTTGTTGGGAAAGGACCCAGCTCAGTTAATATTTTTTTGAGTCAATATTTTTTGAAAAGGGGAATTTTACAGAGAAACTCAAGACTTCAGTTCTTATCTGACTCTACCACTAAACTGTGGTTTTAGGCAAATTACTTTGCTTCTGAGTCTCAATCCTCTCATTTAAATGAAAACCTTGAAAGAGGCAATCCCTATGGATGCCTACAGATCTGTGGTTCCGTGACTAGAAGCTGATGACCAGATGAGAAATTAGGATGGTTCATTTAGGGCTAATCAAGATGTCCATTATAATAAAGAGAAGGAGATGATGAGATTAAATTATAAGGGAAGGCTGGGCAAGAGAAACTGGAGCTAGAATTAATGTCTCAGATAGAGGGTACATTTGTAGTTTTCTTTAGCAAAAATTTTAAGTAATGAAGTAAAATGATAATTTAAAAAAATTGTTTATTTAAACTCTCCTTGTCGCCATCTGTGTTTCCTCAGTGTGTTATTTCTCCTATCTTCCCCTTGCTCTGCAGAATTAATCTTATCAGTTCCTGGGGGGTAAAACAACAACAAAAAAAGATCACTTTTAAGCATGTATGGTGGAAAATATTTAAAGATCTGGCATTCTCACTGACATGAATAGTCATTTCGCAAGGAAGCTGATACCCTCTTCATTTCTGTGGCATAAGGAAAGCCCCATGCAAGTGTACACAGCTTTGGTGATGAAGATGGGTTTGTTTCGGTGTTTAGTACCGGCTTGTCAGTGATCCAGAACTGATTTTGTTTGCTTGCTGGGCTGTCTCTATAGTAATTTTTATATTCAGAAGTGAATTTTAGGGGGGAATTTATGTGAAATCAGCTTGACTCTTTGCTTTACTTGTCCTTTTTGTATATACTGAATAAAGAAAAGAGGTCTATGTGGCTCATAGTGGTGGTTTAAGAGAACAAAGGATATTTGGAAAAAGAAATATTTCCTGAAAGATAGACTGAATGTAAAACAAAACAACCTCAAAAAGTCCCTCCAGGAAAAGCAGGACAAAATCTGCTTATGGACTACTAAGATTTCCTTTTAAATAATATGATATATTTTTATAGAATTCTGATTTCATTCAGAGGGTGGTCTTTTTTTTTTTTTTTTTGAGAGAGAGATTGAGCATGAATGAGGTGGGGGGGCATATATGCAGAGGGAGAGAGAGAGAGAGAATCTTAAGCAGGCTCTACACCTAGAACAGAGCCCAACACAGGGCTCGATCTCATGACCCTGAGATCATGACCTGAGCCGAAATCAACAGCAGAACGCTTAACCTACTGAGCTACCCTGGCACCCCAAGGTTGGTCTTTATGTGAACTTAAAATTTATCTTGATTTATAGCCAAAATAGATTTTATATTCTATTTTCCTGGGATCTCTCCTGGAGGAGTCCTTAATTTGTTTGTAAATTTTGATGTTCTTGTTATTTCCTAGAAAGAAGTGCTTGTAAATATTTGCTTCCCTTTCATATGTGTATGAATTTGGGGCTTGCTAGAGAGACTCTTAGATGGGTAATCCAAGCAACTCTCACTGGTTCAGAAAAGAATGTTTGTTTATTCCTGGAAATCACTGCATTGCAATTTTACTTTTGTCTCCCAAGCATCAGGGTATCTCAAAAATATTTCTTTTCTCGTCCTCTGCAGGAAGGACATTTCCTACTCATCCTTATTTTTCAGCACAGCTTGGGGCAGGACAGCTCTCACTCTTCAACCTCTTGAAAGCCTACTCATTGCTGGACAAAGAAGTGGGTTACTGTCAAGGGATCAGCTTTGTGGCTGGAGTCCTGCTTCTGCACATGAGCGAAGAGCAAGCCTTTGAAATGCTGAAATTCCTCATGTACGACCAGGGCTTCCGCAAGCAGTACAGACCTGACATGATGTCATTACAGGTGAGGCACACGGAAAGCTCTGACCAGAAATTGTAGCAGTAGCCCTCTTCAACATTAAAGATTTAACGAAATTTGGACCCACTGGTCTTGGAATTTGTATAAATGTAGAAGTGTGTTTTAAGTTCACGATCTTAGTGTGGGATTTGCGCTTTGGCTAAACCTGTAAGTGTACGACATCTATATGCAGAAAAACCCTCCCATGAAGTTCCTGAAGGTAATAAATCAGCAATTCTAGAAAAGTAGTGGGTGGGTACTCAAGTCTCCTTCCCCTAAGTAAACAAGTGGAGATGGAGAAAGAATCAAGTCCTCTTCTTATCCTCAACTTATCCATTGAAAAGAATACTAGGTCTTTATTTTTAATCTGAAAAATTATATTTTTCAGATTATAGTCTTTTTCTTTTCCTGTGAATGCATCAGTGGCAGAGAGCTGTGTCACAGTTCTTGAACTTACCATGTCTCCTGCCTTTATCATAATGTCAGGCCCTTCTAGAGGAATAGGTGTCAAAGTCAGTGGCACTATTCAGTCTGCTTTTCTTAGCACATACTGAAGAAACACTGTAAATATGTCTTAGTCATTTTAAGCAAGGTATTCCCTGCCACTGTGGTCTTCAACCTATTTTAGACACCGTGTACATACATTTCACCCTTCTATAGTTTAAAGCCCACTTTTCTTAATGTATTGGTTCCTAATAAGCTGTGTAAATTTTATCTATAGAGATGATATGACAAACAGCCACTCACTCCAATTTAGAGCTTTTAGTAGTGAAAATATAAATGAATACTTCAAAGAGAGGGATGTCAGAGTTCTCCTCCTTTGAAATGAGGTAGGCAAGATGCCCAGTTAGTCATAATATTATGCTGTAGATAGAAAGCAAACTATTTTAAAAATGCTTTTCAAATATACTCTTTTTCCTGGTTCCCAAGGATCAGTTTTTACACTTAATATTTTAGGTGCCAATCTATAGACAAAAAAGGACTGGGTTTTTACCTTGTGAATATTACAGTAAATGGTATTTTCTTGAGAAGATCAGTGGAGAGAAAGTGGTCCATTTTTTTTTCTTTAAGATGAAATTTTTGCTAGGGAGATAGGTATAGCTTCTCTCTCAGCTTTGGATTTTCGGATGTGAGTTCATAACGGTCTTCACCAGGATATATAAATGTAGTGATTTGATTCCTAGTTGATGCCTATCCATAGGTCTGTTAACTTTCCACAAGTCAAATAATGACAATAAAAGGTTTTATTTTTTTACTTTATTTCTAAAGTTTATATCTCATGTTGGATAGGAAGCATTAGTGTTCTTGTAAGGAATTAAGTATCTCTAATTACCAGAAATAAGTTTGATATCTAATATTAGAATTTTTAAAGAATGGAAAGTACCTGTGAGTTGTGTTTGTTTGGGCCCCTAAATAGAAAGATAGATGCAATTATCACTTTAAAAATGCAGTTATCTTCTGTTTTAAAAATTCATCAATTTGATATCATAAAAATTCATGTAAATTGGATTATACATTTATATGGCTTGCATCTACCAAGAAATATTTTATGTCTATAATGGCAATGAAGTTGTTTTTATCTTTGGTAGCATTTGTAGAGGCTGCAAGATTGGGGACCTTATTCTAGGATGATAGAACTTTTTGCTCTGTAAAGTGAGATTTAACACTTTTCCCCTTTCAGGAGCAGAAAGTGTTTTTTATCCAATCAATCCAATCAGTATGACTTTCAGAAGTAGAAGCAGCAGTGGGTTTGGATCACTTGATAGAATTTGTGATCACCTGGGTGTTGTGAGCTTGGGCACTGCTGGGTCTTGGCCTAGGTTCCTTTATCTGTGACATGAGGTTTGAGGTCTCTTATAACTTTGTCTCCTTATGTTCTGTGGCTGCTGTTGTCGTGTTGAGTGTAAAAGCATTGTGTCTTTGTTCTTCCCTTTTCCCTGTCTTCTCTACCCTTCTCATCTCTCTCTACATCTCCCTGCTCTGGTTCTGCTTCTTCCAACAGAAGATTTGCTATATTATCTAGACTGTAGAAATGAAAAATTACTTATTCTTAGCAGACAGCATTTTGTTATTAAAGTTTCCTTTGAAGGAGATTAAATTGTGTTTTTGTTTGCCTTTTTCAAAAGAAATTTAACGTAAACCTACCTTGATAGAAGAATGTAGTTTAGAAAAGGAAAAGGTTCTTTCAAAAAAAATAAAACACTACAGTATGCCTTCTTTGTCACAATTATAATGGATAAGAACCGAATGCTTTTGACAATATGCTTCTCTTTATTCTGCTAATTAGATTTCTTTGATTTCTGTGCTACCAAAATACTAATTCCTCTGTTGATATAGCCCAGTATGTTTAATTTCTAAATTGTAAATGGCCTAAGGGAAAAATATGATTTTTCCAACATGACTGATTGAGATAACAATCACATTCTTTTAAACTTTTATGTTTGACTATAGCTGAACTTCTTGTTTTATAGCTATGACTTCCTGTGGCTCTTTTCTTTCTTTCTTTCTTTCTTTTCTTTCTTTCTTTCTTTCTTTCTTTCTTTCTTTCTTTCTTTCTTTCTTTCTTTCTTTATTTCTTTCCTTTTTTACAGCATGTGTGGAACTTAGTTTCCACAGATATGTGTTACAGATAAAGATCAAACAAATAATTTGCCATATTTATATATAGTACTTTGATTTTTTTAGTTTTGTGCTATGGAAACAACAGTTGAATTCACAATATAATTGGTTATTTTCATGCATTTTTATAAAGCAAACTATTTAAGGATGATATTTTGATGATATCTTCTAGTGAAAGAAATTGTGCTAGATTTAATAAAATATCATATACATTTCACACCAAAATATTAAACTGATATAACTGATCAAGGAACCACTACTCAATATGTTACTGTGTGGATAAAAATTTAAATTAAAGCACAATTCACGGACAGCCCGGGTGGCTCAGCAGTTTAGCGCCACCTTTGGCCCATGGCATAATCTTGGAGACCCGGGGTCGGATCCCGTGTCGGGCTCCCTGCATGGAGCCTGCTTCTTCTTCTGCCTGCTTCTCCCTCTGCCTGTGTCTCTGCTTCTCTCTCTCTCTCTCTCTGGGTCTCATGAATAGATAAATAAAAACTTGAAAAAAAAAATAAAGCACAATTCACAAATTTATTATTTACTGCTATATGCTGCCTTTATAATGTTTATTTTTTTTGAAATACCAATAATCAAGCAGTAGCAAAATGAAATAATTTCTTCTTTTAATACTAGAGATAGACTATATTTTTTGCTTTAATCCCCTTTGTCATAAAAAAACATGCTGCTGGAATACCTCGGATATTGGAAATCCTATCTCAAGCTTCTGGCTCCGTCACATTCTAAGCCAGGAGTCTCCTAGCAGCACTGATTGCCTGGTGAATTCTAAGCCAGAGCTCTATCATAAATCAGATGCTGGGCCCAGCAAGTAGAGACAACCTTTACTTCTGAAATAAGTTTGATAGATCCTTTTGAAGGGAGGCTTTTCTGGAATTGGTCTGAAATTAGAATGGACCTTCCATGAGAGTCCTAGGCGAGGACAAATCTGATTAAATTCCACAAGTAATGCCTACATGAGGGAAAATGACTATTTCCATGTATATATGTGATACTAAAAAATACATGCTAGAGAAACTTGCTCAGTCATCTTAGATGGACTCTTGGTGACTTGCTTTCTGACCTCAGTTAAATGAACTTGGACTTTAATATCAACGTTTACATATTAAAAATAAGATACTACATTAAAAATAAGATACTGCTACTTTCATGCATTAAATAAATGTGAATTTGTTATTAAATATTAGGGTAATAAAATTAAAGTTAGTGTGTTTTATGCACAGATAAATGCATAATGTTTTTTTTTTTTTCTCCAAATTAACTTTAGATTCAAATGTACCAGCTGTCCAGGCTCCTTCATGACTATCACAGAGACCTCTACAATCATCTTGAAGAAAATGAAATCAGCCCCAGTCTTTATGCTGCCCCCTGGTTCCTCACATTGTTTGCCTCTCAGTTTCCATTAGGATTTGTAGCCAGAGTTTTTGGTAAGAGATGCCTGTGATCAAATGGAACAATGTCATTTATTCCAAGGAATATTCTCTCGCCATGTGGTATCCCAATTATTTTATTGTATGTTACACAGAATAGCATATTGCTAATGGAAATTAATAAATGTGCCTGGCTCTATTCTGAGAGTAATTTGCTCTTAAATGAAATTGAAATTAAAAAGGAAAGAAGAATTGGACCCTGTAATGGAGCTCTTACTTTCATTTATACCCCAAGATCAGAATAATTTTCCAGACTTTTTTTTTTTTTTTTTTTTGGATGATAGTCACACACAGAGAGAGAGAGAGGCAGAGACACAGGCAGAGGGAGAAGCAGGCTTCATGCACAAGGAGCCTGACGTGGGATTCAATCTTGGGTCTCCAGGATCGTGCCCTGGGCCAAAGGCAGGCGCCAAACCGCTGCGCCACCCAGGGATCCCTTTTCCAGACTTTTATACACATCCTTCTTTGCTTAGTTTGTGTTTTTGTTTTTCTTTTGTTTTTCAATACTGATTCAGAACAGAGACAAATATGTTCTCTGGTTGAGTCCATGGAAGTACCTATATCAATGTGAATTCTAATGACTTTTTTTTTTTCTAATGACTTTTTAATCTGACTTTTGTTAATAGGCTAGGATAGGATATCTGAAGGATAGGATAGGATAGCATAACCAAAATTCCTGTTTTACTGCTTAAGTGACTCTCCTTCTATGCCAGTGCAGTGGTGGCACCAATCTCTAAGGCTGGGTGGCTCAGAGGAAAAAAGCACTGAGCACTGGCAGTAAGGCCTGAGTTACTGATTTCCTGTTTTGCTTCGTTCCTGTGGCAGGCAGCAGGAATAAAAAGAGCTGATGACATGGTTTATATACTCTTTGGGGGTCCTTAAGTCTATTCATAAGTGTTTGGTTAGGTTTATCTAAGTCCATTATTTAAAAAGCAATTTTTTTTTAAACACCTCTTGAGGCACTTAGGTGGTTAAGCATCTGCCTTTGGCTCAGGTCGTGAACCCGGGGTCCTGGGATCGAGTTCCGCATCGGGCTTCCCACAGTGAGCCCTCTTCTCCCTCTGCCTATGTCTTTGCATCTCTCTCTATATCTCTCATGAAGAAATAAAATCTTAAAAACAAAACAAAACACCTCTTAATAGAGCTTTGTTCTTAAAAATGTTTAGGTCCTCCATGATGTCAGAAAGGGCTCCCACAGTTTTTACATCCTGCTTATCTGGTATCCATGGTGAATGTAGTCAAGATTAGTAACCGTGCCTTTGCTAAATTGGAGCTTTTGGTCAAGTTGTGAATATCGGCCCGATTGTAGGTCATTACCAGCATTAGAAAAAAAATGAGCTAGAATGGAATATAATGAAAATATCAGAGTCTATCATATAGCAAAGAATAATGTTTAGAGAAACTTCGTTTTTCAAAATATGTATGTAATATGTATACAAATAACAGATTATGATGTATGATGTCTTTCTTATTGGGGGGTGTGGTTTAAAAATTAAACCCTGTATTAGTGTAATATAGTCTGTAGAAAAAGTTCAGCAAAAGAACAAAATCAAGAACAGTAGTTGCTCAGTCCTTTTATTTGAATTTAGTAAAGGGTAAGGGAAAGATGGATGAGCAGAAGTCACAGTTTCCTGTTTTTTAAAGACTCCTTGTTGCTTATTACTGATTCTAGAGTGGCAAAGATTGAACCTTTCACGTAGAAATATTTGGTACTTTCAAAACTATTGCCTGTTTGTACTTTAGGAAGTGGAGGTCAGAGTCAGGGTAGCTTTTCTTTTTTCTATTTTACTTCTGATTTAGGTTATATATTGCTTTTGATTTTTCTTTTAAAGTTTTTTTCTTTTTAATTTCCTGCTCTGATATAGGTTTAATTGCATATTAAGTGGTTCATTTACTTTTTTATTACGGTAATGAGAGTTTAAATAGTACTAATTGGTTCTGTTGATTTGTTTTTGTATTTTCCTTGGGAAGAAAAATCTAAGTATCAGTTGAATAAGCCTCTGTAGGATTACCTAGTCTCCGTTAAATTTGCCACTAAAAAATATAAATACATAGACAAACATATATATAATTAACCTTTTTTCTTTTTACCCTAGCTTTATCTGAGATTCCCAAATAAGTAAGAAAAATACTTAAGCATCTGTTTATTTGTGTCAGTCATATTATTATTATTATTATTTTAAATCTAGGCAATTTTGACCATATTCTTTTGCAGAATACTCCATGGTTCCACTGCAGTAATTAAAAACAACCACAATAAACACAAAAAGCCATTAGCACAGAGTACACATTTTACAATAGTGAGTGCATAATTTTGATCATGAAATTGTATCTCTTTCTTTAGATATTATTTTTCTTCAAGGAACTGAAGTTATATTTAAGGTTGCACTCAGTCTGCTGAGCAGCCAGGAGACACTTATAATGGAATGTGAAAACTTTGAAAGTATTGTTGAATTTCTTAAAACCACACTACCTGATATGAATGCATCTGAAATGGAAAAAATTATTACCCAGGTATGATTAAAATGATAATAATAAGATATAAGATCATTTAGCAGTTTCTCCACTAATTATGTATTAAATATATTAGCATAAAAACTTAATTTTTGTTTGATAGATTTTTTTTATTTGATCAGATACATTTTATTTGGAAATAAGATTATCGTGGAATTTCTACTTTGTGACATTGTCTATATGGCTATACACATGAAAAGTGGTTCAGTGCTACATAAGGAGTGTTTGATGAATCTTTCAATTTAGACCAATGATAAAACTGAAGGCAGGGCCGACAGAGTTAGGAAGACATAATAAATAAATAAAAATGAGATCCACTTACCTTCGTGATACTAACTCTGTTTTAAAATATATAAGGAGTACACATGCCAAGAGCCTAGGCTTTGGAATTAGACAGTATGAGATTTGCATCATGTTCTAACTCTTTTATTATTTGGTGGGCTTGTACATATCTCCTTAATCTTCTGAACCCTAGTATTCTCACCTCCCAAATAGGATAATACTGATCTGAGAGGTTTTGTGAGGCTTAAGTGAGGAAACTTCATATATCAATCAAGGGCCCTTGCAGCAAACAGTCTGTCTTCAATGATTCAAACAAAGGTACCATTTTGTAGAGGTTTGGGCATGGTTAAGAGAACCAAATGTGGATATCCAGGAACTAGTAACAGAGGGAGGAAATCTAATAGTGTTACTAAGCCCAGTGAGTGCCAGAAATATGCAGGAGGGGTTTCTGGAGGTTTTTGTGCTGGTGATGAACCAGGCAGGATAGGATCAAGAAAGAAAGACCAACCTCTTTCTCTTTTTCTTTCTGATCTGCTGGGTGCTCTTCTGGGCCATACCCAACCAGAGCTAGCAAGAAAGGAATTATGAAAGGGGGATGCAGGTCACAAGGGTCTGTCTCCCAAATCCAGCAGAAGAGATGAGGGCTGAGAATGGATATGGGAAGAAAACAGAATAATTAGTACACCATATATCTAGTCCCTGGCTCTTCATAGAGACTAGATTAAGTGGTAGTTATATATATTCATGTTACTTGGATGACATGAACAAGCTTAAGATTCATAGATGACTGCTTTAAGAGTATTGATAAAATTTACCACTTTCCTAGAGGCACTTGGGATAGCAGATAAAAGAGTTTAGAGCAAGAGAAAGGGAATTTGACATCTTGTTCTGGTGCCTTGCTACCTACTAGCTGTGTGACTGTGGGTAAGTTTCAAGCTCTCTGAGTCTCAACTTTCTCTCCTACAAAATGAGAATAATAATGATGTTCCTGTTACATTTTCATGTTGTTTTTAGGAGGAAATTTAACCAATTAGGGTGGAGCATTTTATATGCTGTAATTCACACTATAACATGAGCTCTTATTCTATGACCTATAAAAGTTTCTTTTTATAAAATCGAAGTCGTAAGCAGATTCTGTAAATATCTGTGGACAGTTTTTATTTGTTTAAATACTCTGTAAGCCGAAAGATGTAGCTTTTATTTACATATGTACTTGTTTATTAATTCTTCAGAAATATCTTTCTGGACTGGCAAGCAATCAGAGATTTGCTTTTAGAGAAGTGATAATCTGATTTGAAGTCAGATCACCTCACCTTCTAAAATTAAAGAGGGAATCATTTGGCTTTAGAGATTATTGCTAGAATGAATGGACAGAATTTATAGGCAGGTAGATTTGAACTTGATATGAGAGATTTTTCTAACAGTTAAGAGTTGATTTAGTGGAATGAACTGCTGATATTAAAGGAGACCTTGATGAGCTTTATTTAAAATATGGTCACTATGAATATGGTCACTATGAAAAATGCCAATAATGCATAAAAGCACAAAGGAGAAAATAAAAGTAAAAAAAAAAAGAAAGAAAAGAAAACCTGCTAAACTACCTTTACACATCTCTCTTTGTTTACATATAAATCTTAGGTGAAATCATACTATACATGCTATTATGTAACCTGATTTTTTAATTAAAATATGCATGGAGTATTGAACATTTTTTTTCATGCAATAAATATAGATCCATGCTATCATTTTTAATGGTTGGGTAACAGTCTGTTGTGTCCATGGTTTCCCACTAGGCAGGGAAAAAGTGATGCTTATTGGAGAGGGATGTCCAGCTTGTCTAGATAATTCATTTATATTCTAAAATTTGACTACCTCTGACAGTAGTAGGATAATAAGTAAGTCAGTTTGTTGTGGTTTCTTTTCTCTCCATGGTATTAGTGTAGACACCATTGCTTAAATGCAGCTGTTGCCTCTCCTTCCCTTGCAAGTTTAGACTAAGGAGGCATTACCTATACATCAACTGATAAGCAAACTGTCTTCCTGCTTGGTGGCAATTTGGGAGAGCAGAGGCATCCCTGATGAAACCCTACAACTCTGGACAGTACTCAGGCTATGCAGTTATGAAGATTCTCTGTGTGGTAGAATGTGTTGTTACTCCTAAGAGACCCACATAGATTAGCAAATGGATGAAAATATTTAGCATAAGACCTCTCTGCCCTACTGACAAATTATTAGCAGTGTTTTTGGTTTCTTTACTATGAAAATAACCTATGCAATTTTGCTTGCTAATCAGCAAAGATTATCTCTAACATAGATAAGAATTACTCAGTAACTATAATGTTATTTATCTGGCATGCTACATTTTTCGAGAGTTATCAGATTATGTATATTTTGGTTGCAAAACACTCTTGAATATTAACTTATGCTAGTGTTTTGACTTCATTATGAGAATGTTTCAAGTGTGTAGAAATCATCTATTTGTCCTTATATAGACAGTCACACCTGTTATTCTTCCTTTTGATATGCCATACTATTCCTCATTAGTAAGTATTTGGAAGTCTATATGAAGCACACCAGATACACAAATTGTATTTTGATATACATTCTAAAGGCCAGACTAACCCATGGTGTCTTCCTGGCAGGTTTTTGAGATGGATATTTCTAAACAGTTACATGCCTATGAGGTGGAATATCATGTACTGCAGGATGAGCTTCAGGAATCGTCATATGCCTGTGAGGATAGTGAACCTATGGAGAAGCTAGAGAGAGCCAATAGTCAACTGAAAAGACAAAACATGGACCTCCTAGAAAAGTTACAGGTAAAGAGATAAAGATTTGATCTTAAAAGCACTTGACTGCCTTCTCCATGCACAGAATTCTATAAGGAATGATAGAGATGTGACATGGATTGAACCATTGCTGACAGAGGGTCTGTGTGTCAGACTGTGTGCAAGTGTTCTGGGGGCTACAAATGCACATATGAACTTAAATATCACTTGGGAAAGAAAATATACACTTACAAAATATTAAATTTCAATTCAAAGCAGAATCTGGTTAAATACCTAAAGGGTGTTAGACATATTTGGCTAAAGGGAGGAGGTACTGAATATGGGAAATTGGGAAAGCTCTGGAAGACCTGGAGCTTGAGATGGACTCTGAAGGATTGGTGGGAGAAATGAGTGGGGGTTGGTATAAATAAGGAAGATAGGGCACAGCAACAAAGTAAGCTTGGGGTCAGTTGAAGATTTATGTTGGGGAAATATGGGATAAATATGATGGAGGCAGAACTGTTGATAACTTTCAAGTGTCAAGCAGAAGAGCATGGCTTTGGTCCTGTTGAGAGAGAAATCTCAAGGAGTTTTTGAGTTGTACTGTAGAAAGATCAATCTGGAAACCTTGATGAGTACAGATTTGCATGGCAGAGAAGGTATGGAGACTAGCTGGAAATCATTTGCAGAAATCTGGGAACAATGAGAACTGTGTAGAATAAAACTCACTGAGATAGAAAGAAAAGGAGGCATTTTGAGAGAATTGAATGAAATCATGTAACACATAGTCCCTGCCATCAAGAAGTTTACAATTACTTGGTAATATAAAATACTATGTATTTATTTATAAATGCACATTTACAAATGCAATAAGCAGGTTACTATAAGCTAATATACTACACCTGCAACTTGAATGATGTGTACTGTGTATCCAAGCCCTGAAGGGCAGGGCTTAAGAGTGATCAGTGGAAGGGAGCTTGGAAGGGGAACCTTCTAGGAGGTGAGGGAGATGAGTTCTGAGTTAGAGCTTAAGAGCCTGATGTCTCCTTAGTTTCTGTCACCTCCCACTTCCTGACAAGACACCAGTCCCCAAAGCAGAGAACACTAAAACTCTGCTTCTATGTGATGAGTCTCCTGACAAGGAGGCTAGAAGAGAAAGGCTTAGAAAGGAGGGATCTCTAGAGTAATTGCTCCCCAAGGATAGGAACACTGACTTCCTTCAGTTATCTTACATTAGCTCTTATTAGGGAAAGTGGGTTTGCACTTGCTTTATATTAATTATAATGACTTTTACTAATGGTTACAAATTTTTTCATTGACAGTTCAATGTCATCATCATGTCTTGGTTCCCAAGTTATGTGGGAACCCCTGACAGCCACTGAAACCAATAGGATCCCAATTATGTGTTTTTACAAAACCCTATATTTCTCGTCAGGGGGTGGAAAGCTTCTTTTAGCACCTCTGGGCAGCATCAGAAATTTCCCATTTCTCCTTCAGCCAGATGCCACTCGCTCCAGGAGAATACGGTGATGCCCCCACCATTGCGGGAGGCTGATTTAAGATTGCATTTTTGTTGTAGTCAGTGAAATGAGATGTCTTTTGTCAGTACTTACAGTTATATTTTTGAGATATTGGAAAAACTCCATGTCACAGAGGATTTCAAAGTATTTGATTCATATACTATTTTGTTATGTAATACAATATGATCATATAATACAATATGATTTTGTTATGTAATACACTATTAAGGCATAATACAATACCTTAATATATGTAAGGTCTGGCAGCTGTTCTGACGAGGAATCAGGGTCTTCAGATTTTTGATTTGGAGGAATTTGCATTTTTCTTCTTTCTCCCAAACAGATAGCTCATGCTAAGATCCAGACCTTGGAATCCAATCTGGAAAACCTTTTGACCAGAGAGACCAAAATGAAGTCTTTAATCCGGACTCTGGAACAAGAGAAAATGGCTTATCAAAAGACAGTGGAGCAAATCCGGAAGCTGCTGCCAGCTGATGCGCTCGCCAATTGTGAATCACTGCTAAGAGACCTCAACTGCAACCCTAACAACAAAGCTAAGGCAGGAAACAAGCCATAACTGAAGGAGTGCCATGTCAGCAGAACATGCTTTTAGAATGGTAAAGAAGGGAAGCATCTGCATGCTGCTGGCCCAATGCTGGACGCAGGAGCTGATGGAACCACTGGAGTTTGGTGCTGAGCCCTAGTCCTAGAGGGTGGACCTCACTCCCATTAGAGTACGCTGTTCCTAAGCCATTGTATATATGTAGACTGGTGGTTTTTTTGTTGTTGACTATGTACATAGACACAAAATGGACGTGAAGAGTTCATGCTTTCAGATCAAAGGAGTAGATGTATATTTAGAGTAATTTTTTAAATCAAAACTTCATGAAATCCACACCAAAGGGAAGTTAAAATGAAATTCCCCTTGGACATATGTGAAATCATTTTGTCTTTGTAGTGAAACAAAGCTAGAGCATCTTTATATATTAAAATATACTTGAAAAAAATGAATGTATTTTTTTCTCCAAAGAACAGCATGTTTCACTCAATCATGGAGCGGTAGAAACATTTGTGTAACTTTATGTATATCTGTCTTAAAATCTACTGACATTATGTATATCTGAGGAAATGACTGACTGCTGATCATGCTCCTATGGGTTTTTCAGGAAGGTAGGGGCCTTCCTCCCCTGCGTGCTTTGTGCCAACTAGCATGTTGTGTCTACATGCATTTTGAGTCAGTTTAGGCATTACTTTGGACGTGCATAAGGAGAAAGAAGACATCGTAGCAGAGTCTACCCACCCAGCTCATGATGAAAAAGAATGTTGCTAATTTCCCAGCAAATTAGACCAGCATTATTATTCAAGCTAAAATATCAGGCCTCCACAATTTAATTTAGGTCCTATATTGTCTAGATCAATTTTCTACTTTTTTGTTTATATTACTCCTTACAATCTTGAGTGGACTCCCTTTTACTTGGTGCCATAGTTGGTGACAAGGATTTGTTATTTTTCCACTTATGGGATCTAATTTTGTTCTCTCTATCTTAAATAAAAGGGAAAATATGATTGGTTTTGTAAGGATAATATGCTGTGTTGAGACACCTTTTTTTTTTTTTGGCCAATTGACAGAATCTAATAAGCTCTCAATCATCTTTCCTTGTATGTGAAGGTTTGTGAGAACTGTGTAATGTTTAAGAGTAACCTGTTGAAATCCATTGGAGAGAAGTGGAAAGTGGCTTCAAGCCCTTCTAAGACCTAATTCTTTGAACTCCCAGCTTCCTCAGCCTACAGCTTATCAGAGGACATTCATGCATGCTGGGTATTATGGAAGTAAAGTAATTTTCAAAGTACACAAGCAGTTCTCCATTTCAGAGATGATTCTATGATAGTGCCTCTGAAAGTTGATGCAGCATTTTTGCCTTTCCAAATAATATTTGTCATCACTGCTTTTTGCAGTACTTATCACAGATGGATCACTTGGGATAATTTTCTTCAGAGGGAGTTTTTTTATACACTAGCTACAGTGTATTATAGAGTAGAAGGGCATCGCTCTCAAGGTTTGGGAAAACCTTGAAGAGCAGATGATAAGCATCTGAACCCTCAACCTCTACACCAATACTCAGTATAAATGTAATGATTCTAGTTACAAATCAGCATGCCCTCTAATCCAGGCAGTTTTTGTTTTTTTTTTTTTTTTTTAAAGAAAATAAAGTCTTATTAGTAAAGTTAATATTTCTAGTTCTAGGAAATTCTGATTCTAGGCCTCCTGTTAAGTTGGGATTACCAACTAATTTGTTTCTTGGATTCCCCCAAATTTCTCTATTTGTAGGAGAGGTTTTCTCTATGAGGAATATGATAAATATCATCTGATTACTGTCTGGTGATGAAAATTACCTTATGTATGTGATATACAGGTGGTAGCCAAAGAATCTTTAAGTTGGGAAAAGAAACTTTTTCCTTTTGGTTCAATTTCAAGTAAATTTTATTCTGGATATTCAAAGTCAGCATTATGAGTTTTATACTATGGTGTTCAGAGATTAAGTTGTCTTGGATACAGTATTTCTTCTGAAAATGAATTTTCTTTTTCTTTTTTGTGATTTTTTTAAAGTGTTGCACCAGTTATGCTTATGCATTGTTACATCTTCTGATTAATGTTACATCTGATTAATGTAATGTCTAGTTCATTTCCAATAAATACATTGCTATAGTTTCCTTGGCTTATTGGTTTTTTGTTTATAATAGGAAAGAAGATGCTCTTGGTTAGAGTTCTTTACAAAATCTGCATGAGCTGAGCTATTGTTACTTAAAATTGGTTCAGTAATAATTCTTTTTAATAGAATCAGAACAACAAAGATAATTTATGAAAATATTTATGAAAGTCTGTTGTCAGTTACTAGTTTTCAACTTCTTTCCCAATGGAGCCTCTTTTTTTTTTAAAAAAAAGATTTTATTTATTCATGAGAGACACAGAGACAGAGAGAGGCAGAGACACAGGCAGAGGGAGAAGCAGGCTCCATGCAGGAGCCTGATGTGGGACTTGATCCCGGGTCTCCAGGATCACACCCTGGGCTGAAGGGGGCACTAAACCGCTGAGCCACCCAGGCTGCCCCCAATGGAGCCTCTTGCTAATGAATACAAAAAGAAAAAGATAACCACACTGACATATTTGTGTTCTACTCTTTTTGTTTTCTATGCCTCCTCATAGACAACAAGGGAGAGAAAGAGGATATGAAAATACAATTTTTTAAAAACTGGGTTAGCTTCCAAATAATTAAAAATACTTATTGATGGATATGATGTGAATGTGTTTACATATCACATATATGTTTGGAATATTCTCAGTTATGTTTGTAATCCAATACAAGGATACTGGACCTTCTTGCTAATTTTAGGACTAAAAGTTTTAGATATTTTGCATTATAGGTAGTAAACACTTTGAATGTCAGTGTAGGGTTACATAGTATGGTCTTTTAATATCCATGTTCACTTACCATTTAAGACCATTTCACCAATTTGTTTTCACTGTGCTAGATCAAGAATAAGAAATCTGTCTTGTGAGGTATTTGGTCTGCTACCACAATGTTTCACTCTTAATCAGCTGAGATATATTGAGAAAGCACTAACTAGATTTAAGGTGGGAAGTTTTATTTTTATTTTTTTTTATAAATTAATTTTTATTGGTGTTTAATTTACCAACATACAGAATAACACCCAGTGCTCATCCCGTCAAGTGTCCCCCTCCGTGCCCGTCACCCATTCACCCCCACCTCCCGCCCTCCTCCCCTTCCACCACCCCTAGTTCATTTCCCAGAGTTAGAAGTCTTTATGTTCTGTGTCCCTTTCTGATATCTCCCACACATTTCTTCTCCCTTCCCTTATATTCCCCTTCACTATTATTCATATTCCCCAAATGAATGAGAACATACACTGTTTGTCCTTCTCCGATTGACTTACTTCACTCAGCATAATACCCTCCAGTTCCATCCACGTTGAAGCAAATGGTGGGTATTTGTCGTTTCTAATGGCTGAGTAATATTCCATTGTATACATAGACCACATCTTCTTTATCCATTCATCTTTCGATGGGCACCGAGGCTCCTTCCACAGTTTGGCTATTGTGGACATGGCTGCTAGAAACATCGGGGTGCAGGTGCCCCGGCGTTTCATTGCATCTGAATCTTTGGGGTAAATCCCTAACAGTGCAATTGCTGGGTCGTAGGGCAGGTCTATTTTTAATTCTTTGAGGAACCTCCACACAGTTTTCCAGAGTGGCTGCACCAGTTCACATTCTAAGGTGGGAAGTTTTAGATCTGAGTTTTGGCTCACCATTTATTCATTCAACAAATAGTTTCCGTAAGCCAAGCTAGATGCTGTGTACTCAGAGGTGGATGTGCTTCCAGTCTACAGACAGGGGGATAATTAGGAAGCAAGAGAGTTTATACTATTACAGGTACATAAAGTAATCCAGATGAGAAACAGTCACTCAGCCTAGACTGCAGGGACTAGTAGCCCTGGGAGTTTGTGTCAAAAGCGTTTGGAAGAAGCGATGCTTGACCTAAATCTGGAAGAGCCAGTAGAAAGTGGGTAGGTTGTGTTAAACAGGGTATGAGTGAGAGAGGATGGTATATTTCTGAAACCAGAACTCATTTCTTAATCCTGAAGTACAGTTAGTGCTCCCATGGGGCAGAGGTGGGAGAGGAGTCTTCTGGCAAACATGGACTCAATCATGAAGATCTTAATAGACCTTGTGAAAGAATTTAGACTCTACCTAGAGAGAATAGGAGCCAGTAAAGTCCAGTAACCTGAAGAGAGACAGAATTGGATTTGCTCTGATCTAAACCCAATTTATACATTGGACAGAAACTAGGAAATGGCAGATTGCAGTTTGGTGATTTCCATAATAATCTAGCCCCCAAAAATAAAATAGCAAAAGCCTGATCTAGAGTAGAGGTCTTTGGAAAAGTCAGTCAGTGTGGACTTCTGTCTCTTTGACAGAGTTAGTCACTGAAACCTGCTAATTTTATCTGCAAAATATGTGTGCATTTCCCTCCTTCACTACTGCAACTACTTTTATTCATCTCCTTGCTCTGGTGGGTTAAACTGAGATGATTTCCATTTCTGGGGATAAACTCCTAAGTCACAGATATTGAACTACTTGGTTTTTGTTTTGTTTATTTAGAAATGGAAGCAGAAGGTGGTGTCAAAGAGGAGAAGGATCTAGGATAGACAGGGAATCAGCTGGGGATGTAGGAAAAAAAGCAATAGGAGAGATGATGAGTGGGGCTTTCTGGAGAGACATGCCAGTTGCTCAACAAGCCTATTCTCCTATCTACCTATGCCGTTAAGTACAATGTCATTTTCTTGGTTCCACATTACGGAGCCAGATTTGTTTTGCTTCCAACCCCACTTCAGGGTGAGCAGCACCAGAGGGCATGCCAATGGGTGCCTACTCAAGTATAGGTTATCCTCTCTTACCTGCACTGCTCCTCACCTCAGAGGGACCTTCCTAAAATATAAATCTCACCTAAATTTATCTTCAGCTTAAAACCATTCAAAGGCTTTTCTTTCCTCCCAGGATTATCCAATTTTTAAGATGACACATTTGGCCTTCCATGATCCTGTCCTTGATAACCTATCTTTGTCTCCTGCCTGTGGCCCCATCTTGTCCTTTCCTCTAGTCAAATTATTTAAGTCTATCTTTTCCTGAAGCAGCTTTTTGTTTTGGACAGCCTGCTCCCTTTCTGGAGAGCTTGGGAGTGCTCCTTCCCGCATTCCAATGAGCTTACTCCCTCAGAACAACCTTAGGTCTGTGTAGTAAGACAAACTGACCACCCTCACTACCACCCAGGTAGTGGTGTCATAGCATTAGTTACCTGGGAAGGTGTGAGCGGGTATTGCTGAGCTTCACAGACATCTCAGGGTTCCCCAGATGAGATTGCATAAATGTAATTTTAAAAGCTAACTTAATCATTACACTATAATAAAAAAGCATACTAATAGACTTTAAGTAAATTGAGAAGTAGATGTAATTTTATTTAGCATTTTGTTTTTCGATGACCTAGTATGGGTCAGGTGTTTTGCTAGAAGTTGGGACCTCAAAAATGTCTCTTGACTATCTTGAGTCAGTTCTTAACTGATAAATTCAGTTTTAATGAAAAAAAAATCAGGAAGTATGGAGTGATACTTTGTAAACTGTGAAGGAATTCTAGTGCTTTTACCTTTCATCATAAATATATACTATATGCCATGTACAATATACAATTTGTATTGTATACAATATGTACTATGCACATAAGGAGCTAGTGCATAATTCAGGAATGTTATTTATAAGACTGTAATGTGAATGGTGCTCCTGGAGCTGTGTAGTATAGGAGCTGATAAAATATATTACATACTAAATTTTATACATACACATATACTGAGAACTAAGACCATGTATCTCATCTTATGGTCTATATTAACATGGTTTTACATGTTAATGTAAACATGTTAACATTGTCCTCATTAGCTTAACGTTCCTATTTAATGTTCCTATTCTGGAAGACTCCTATCTGGACAATTTAATTTACTGTTGTTCATTACAGGAAATTCCCAAAAGATTCAAAACATTTCAACAGTTTATACCTCAACACTCTTTGAACCCCCTCATCCCAAAATTCTCACCTTCCTTCTTCCACCAATCTTAAACTGTTATATCATGATCTTTACCCAGTCTTTAAGATTATATATATAAAACTATATATACATATATATGAGCATATATTTATATATATACATATTTATAGAGCATGAGTAGGGAGAGGGGCAGAAGGAAAGTGAGAAAGGGAATCTAGCAGACTCCACGCTGTAGAGCCCAATGCGGGGCTGGATCCCAGGACCTGGGGATCACGATCTGAGCTGAAAACCAAGAGTCTGACGGTCAACTGATTGAGCCACTTGAGTGTCCCGATCTTTATGCAGCCTTAATCAAATTCCACATTGAGGGCAGCCCAGGTGGCTCACCGATTTAGCACCGCTTTTAGCCCAGGGCATGATCCTAGAGACTCAGGATTGAGTCCCATGTCAGGCTTTCTGCATGGAGCCTGCTTCTCCCTCTGCCTTGTCTCTGCCTCTCTCTCTCTCCTCTCTCTGTGTGTATCTCTAATGAATAAATAAAATCTTTAAAAAAAAATTCCACATTGAAATACCCACCTTAAACTTAGCTTCTGAGACACAACCAAAGCTCTATAGAGTTAGTGTTCTCTCATACTATGATAAGTAATAAACTCAGTGCTATTTTATCAACAGGTTGTTTTAGTGACTTTTGGGTGACACACCCAACACCTTTATGATAGGTAATGATGATTACCTATCATTCGATAATATTTTTTATTCTATACACCTGTACTCTATAACATACATGCTATGCTCTTCTCTTTTTCTTTCTTGTTTTAATCTCATACTTAATCCCCATATTCTTTTAAGTCCCCTTTTCCCTGAGCCATATTTTGTCTCAGATACCTTGGTAACTTCCATCAATATTTCATATCACAATCAGTGGCTCCTAAGAACAGAATCAGTGTTGACCTTCCAGGATATGAACAGTATAAAGCAGAAAAAAAAAGTTTGGCTTGAATTAAACATTTCATTTACTATCATATAGGTAAGGTCTATAAATGTCATTACCTGGGCATTCCAATGAGATAGCTCCTAAAACTTCATTTAAAAAGA